TTCGCCCCCCTGGCCGAAGGCTCCAAATTCTCACAGGATGGCCAACTCAAGAAAACAAAGTTAATGGGAGAAAACGACGAAAATCAGTAACCCTCGGTACCTAGAGCCCTCAGCACTAAGGAGGTCCCCGGTACTCGGAGCCCTCGGCTAATCATCTGCAGTCGAGGGCACCTTTCTCGACATAATATCCTCTCCACATGCGCCTGAATCACCGTACCAAGTACGACGTCACATCCAACAGCCGCATTTAATGCGGCCACATGCGAATGTCAGCGCCACCCCGTTGAGGTGACCCCTCGACCACCAGAATGATGACACATGTCCCTATCTGGGATTTATTACTGCTATAAATAGCACCCCTTTCCCCATTTGTAATCCAAGCGAAATACGCTCACTACTTTCTCAGCAATATACTCTCTCTCTCTTACTTATGCTCTGACTTCTCTCTAGTTATTCCCCACAATAACCCTTCGGATACATACCCTCGAGTAGACTGTCCATCAATGGGTGACTAATGCAGTCATCCTCTCAACAACTAGATTATAGTGCAAGCAATTTAAGCCTAAACACTTCAAAGATGTTCTAAAAGCATAGTCAAAACGCTAGCAAGCTCACAAAGACACAGTTTAAAGAAAAATTTTCAAAAATTTTGACATGACTTTCCTATGAATATACCATTAACACATGCGCATGCTAACTCTAAAAATCCCATGTGATAACTATTTCCCGAACGCCTAATTCACCCCCCCATACTTATCGCTCTCGATGACAAAAAATGCACTACGCACAAGGGGTAAAGAGGAAAGGGTCACGCGTGCTCAATCTCAACTCAAGTCAACATTACAAATAGGCGATTATAAGAGTCGCAGAAACTTCCCTAAGGCGTTGGTCGGTGCAGAACTAAACTGAGTACCTGTGAACTAAGACTGGTAATTGCCTCAATGAGGTGGATAAGGCAAGTGATCCTCGGCACGTCATCCCCAAAGCAAGACCTTGAGCTGCAAAAACAAAACACACAAACACAAAAACAAAACACACAAAATGCCATGTTGTTGTTTTTTTCTGAGAGTTTTCTTGAAAGCAAACAAACAAAGACAAAAGTGCAGAAATAAGCTTGGGTTGCATCCCAATAAGCGCTATTTAACGTTGTTTTCCTGATGCAACTACCCCATAGGCTCTCAAATAGCAAAGACTGCAGTGGTGCACTGATAATCAACGTCTCCAGCTTCCTCTCAACAAATGCCATTAAGTGGCGCAGATTCTTATATTCTTGAAAAAATTTAGGAAGCGCATGGTCTTCATAACCCTCGTCAGCACAGAAGTAAAGGATGAAACTTTCATCCTTTTGTTCAAAATGTATCACAAACGCCTCCTTTCTTCGTTCGAATGTACCATGAAAATTCTGAGCACCTCCTCTTGACTCCCTATCACTCTCCATGAATGCATCCCAATTCGTTTCGTCACTCTTCTTGTTAATATCCTCCAAGCAGTTGTGATCATTCTCCACACAAAAAGAAGTATCATCACCAAGGAATGGATCAAAGAAACCCAAACCTGGACTAACGTACGAGGAGTAATCTTGCATGTGGAGCGGGAATTCTTCGTCATGGGGATCATCTACCTTGCTACCACTCTCTTGGAGCTTGTGATTATCTTTTCCCAACTCTTCTTCAATGTCATGACTCATCTGCTCCATTCTCTCCTCATCAAGGGTTGAGACTAATGGTATATCAAACGGCTGGGGAGTTTCTATATGAAAATCACAGTGATCTGTGACTTCATCAGTTACAGCTTGTATCGTTTGAAACTTTTGCATGTATTCTTGGAAAAACAACTCGACACTACTATCTTCTTGTTCATCTTCAAACATAGGTAGGTCTTCAAAAGCATCAGGAAGTGTATCATCCATCATACTCCCACCTTCGTAGTCTGACTCAATGCCATGATCATCCATATTGGTGTCCTCAGGTTGGGCTTCTGTCAGCTGACCCACCACATTGATTAGATTCTGCATTTTGGTTGTGAGCTGCATGAGTGTCTCTTCCAAGTCAGACAACCTCTCTGAAATTTTCTCTTTAAATTGATTATGTGGCTTATTACTCGGCAAAGATATTGGAGTGGCTGGAACATTTGTGTTTGTAAATTGTGGGGAGGAAGAAGTGGGGTATGCAATTGCCCAATAAGGATGATCATTTGGAGGAATGGGGCAAAGACATAAATGGTGACCTCCTCCACAGAAAGAGCAAATGCTATTTTTAGGAAAGCAATCAGCCAATTCCTCAGGACTTTTATTTTTAACAAGATAATAAAGCATGGTGCCTGGTCTTGCCCTAGGATATTGTGGATAAGGATAATGAGGGGAATGACATTGGGAATGTTGCATAGTTGGAAGAGGGTAAGAATAGGAAGATGGACTATTTTGTGATGGAGGAGAGTAATAATGGCGAGGAGTGTAATATTGAGGAGGAGTGTAAGGAGGGTCTGGCGTATATGATGAATATTCCATGAAGATTTGAGGTTAAGGAATTCCTTCTAGAATTTGGCGGAATGGGTTCATCTCACGCCTCTTTGAAAATACCTGAAAGGTTAGCACAAAAAAATCCTACGAAAAACTAAAAAAACACTAACTAAAAAAGTCTCGCTGAAATTAATTAACCCTTAAAACCGACACCGTCCCCCGCAACGGTGCCAAAAACTGATGTGAGTTTTCTCGCACTTAAAATAGATCGTAATATAGTGGTGTAAGTACGAGTATCGTCTCCACAGAGACGGACAAAAGGGAATCAAGAATTAATTAAATTCAGCGAAGAAAAAGAAATAAAATAAAATAAATTGTGTGAGATTGATTGATTGGGAAAATTAAATTGCGAATAAAGAAATTAAACTAATGGGTTCTTTCTAATTAATGACGAAGAGAACAAGGATTGATTCTGGGGTAATCAGATTTCTGGCAGATCAGGCTTAATCGCATGAAATTAAATTAATTGAGCCAAGCTAATCATTACTAAGTTCTTACCGCTCTCGTGGCATAGAGTACAATAATTTAGGGTACCAGGCTTATATCTCATGCGACAGGATCCTAAATTTTTGCCAAGACGAGCGGGCTTACGGCCCCTTAATTGCTACTAATCTTTTAGCGAACGATTAAGTGTGTGAATGTGTCTTAGAATAAACTAGACCTCTTTTAATTTATTCTACATGCAATTATAATCCTAGTGGCCATCTGGGTTACAAGAGATATGAGTTAAATTATTCAAACACAAATTAAACGGCATTCAAGCAATTAATCCATCAAGAGTCTAGTCATACATCATGAATAACCCCTTCATCAATCCCAAATCCCTAATCAAAACTACTCACAACTCATAATTGAAAGATCAATAGAATTGGGAAGAATAGAAATAATTGTTATTAATTAAAAAGTAGGAACTTACAAAGAATCTCAAAGAATTGAAAAACAAGGTTGAAAAGTTCTCAAAATTCGTCCTTCAGCTGCTCTCTAAGTTCCACCCCCCTAAACTAGGGTTAGGGAGGTATTATTTAAAGGAAACAAAGCAATTCGGGTTGGATTAAGATTGAAACGGGGCACGCACGGCTCCCACGCACGTGTGCGTGGCGTCCATGCGTCCGACAGACATGCACGTAAAATCGTTGGACACACGCGTGCGTCCCTCCCCACGCACGCGTGCGTGGCTGCAAGTGAGTTTTCCAGCTTCTCTGGTCCGAATTTGACAAAACTTCTTTTATTAAAGTTGTAAATAATGAAGTCCTCTATCCACCACAACTTTCCGAATTGGATTTAAATCATCCAATCAAGAGATATGAATAAAATACTGGAATCTCATTCTGAAATTGCAACAGGGATCATCTGACTTCATCGTCTGTTTTCACCTTCTTCCTCTCAGATTCTTGCAACAGTGTCTTTATATGCTTTATATCCCTTGAATTTGGATTTCATATGAAACTTGAATCGTGTCCTTTGAATGCTTCTACGAAGAGATATGCTTGAACGATTGACAGAAGGTCATCCTGAACTTCATTTTCAAACTTTATTCGTCTTCATTTAATCTTGTAACCAATCCTAGAGCACTTTTGTCATCAAATCTTCATTGTGAACTTCCCGGTGACCTCCAAAGCTCTCAATTCACTCTTGAATTCTTCTCGAACCATCCCCGTTTGCTCCTCAAGCGCCGGTGCCAGACTCTAAATTCCTAATTTTGACTCCAAACAACACAAAACTCGAACCAACGCCCGATAAACATAACTTGAGCTAAAATTGAGACTTGTAACACCTTAAAGCTAGGAAAACCATCACAAGTCGATCCCAACACACATCAAATGCGTGTCTAAATATGGACTTATCACCTCTCCGACCATTCAACACCACCATGGACTCCGGCATGATCAGTCCTCTCCACCAGCCCCCCAACCAACCAACCCCCGCCCTAACCCAAACCCCAGTACCCTTCCCAGCCCCACCCAGAAAGGGCGCACCCCAGCCTCACCCAACAACGTCGCAACACAACCTCTCAAGCCACGCCCTACAGTCAAGCCTCGCCCCATCCACATACTCAGATCTGAAAATAAGAAGGAAATCCCCCAAATTTGATCTGGAATCGCAGTGATTTGCGGTCAAGAAAGGAGAAGAAGGATAATAAAGGAAGATCGACGAGGCACATCCCTTGCTCGAGGTTCGTCGGCATTCTTCAGAGAGGCGGACCAGCGGAGATGCAGTAGAGGGACGACGAGGTTCAGGCAGGCGGACCGGCGAAGAGAAGGCATCATGGCCGTACGAAGAGAAGAGGCGCATCGACCTTGTGCAGAAATGAAGTAAGACAACGCCATGGCCGGTGGTTTATGGCGGGAGAGGAAAGTCTCATGGTTGTGCTGGAGAGATGCGTCTGTGGGGAGAGAGACGTGCGGAGAGAAGCGTGAGTCACATTTTTGGAAAAAGAAAACACGGTTATATTTCTTGAATTTGATAAGTCAAATGTCATAGATGGGCCATTATTTCTTATATAAACTTGACAGACCAGAAGAGACCATAATTAGTCTGTACCAACTCCTCTTTGGTTTGGATAATTTGATAACATACTCCATGTTACTACATCAAGAGCGTGAAGCTGATATTATAGAGGAAAGATTGAATATTGAAAAGTATCAAGGGATTTGGCTAATCTCGGGGAAGCCCGATCTGTCTTCCCCCTTGTTTAGCCCTTCACCGCGACCCGTCTGCTCGTCGCCCGTGCCGCCTCCTAATATGGTCGTCGTGTACCTGCCAATCATTTTTTCTGATGTAATGGTTCCTACCGGTGAAAAGTTCCCACCTAATGTATCCGAATCCAAAAATGATGTTTGTACACACTCTTATACACACTTTTGTACACACATATGTTTGTGAAAGTTTTTTTTTGTCTGTGAACATCGATTCACAGACAATGTTTTGCACAAACAAAAAAAAGCTTCACATACATGGTGTGTATAAGGTGTGTACATCAAGCATGGTTGATCGGAATCCTTGACCTCCATACTAAACACAGCATCATCTTCAAGTCTTCATCCAACTCCATACAATCGACACCAGCCAACCAAGGGTTTAAAGATCTTCGGTAAGAGGCCAACGAAATATGCAAAGATGGAAACTGCACAGCCTTTATTGCTGTTGAAAAATGTCACGCACTGACTTGAAGTTCGTCCGCAATCTTTTCCCTTGCGGAAAATCCAAAGAAAGCCAAAAAAAAAAACAGGCCGCACGGTGAAAAACGGCTGTAAATTGGATTCTTTAAACTCCAAAATACAAATACTTTTCCTCCCTCAAAAAATTAACACCCAAATACACTCTTAAAACCCAACTCTATTTGTACTCGCAACTTCTTGGATTTGACGGACAAAAAGTTCGACCAATTTCGTTAGTGGGTATTCCGTGAAACTTGATTAGTAGTATTTTGCGTTTTAAATTGTTGTTTACACTAATTTCACACGCTCACTAACTATAGACATGTCATTCTGATTCAGTAATAAAAGGAGGTAAATTATACCGTGTATAATTTAAACAATCGTTACACCGTGAGCACAGTGTGCCGATCCCAAAACGATAAAGTTTTATATTTAAAAAATATCTAATCTTCGCACATCATCTCTTTCCCCATTTCATCTATATCCCTCGCATCATGAATCATTCCTTTACCATGGAACTCCGCCGTACTCCATCTCTCAGGACCAGAAGCTCCACCGTCGCTCCACTGCACAGGCTATCACACAAGGAAAGGAGTGTTTCCAGAAATCATCTCCTCCGCCTTTGGTGCAATCGTCTGGCCTAAAATTGGTTGCATTGATGCAACAATTAGGCGTATTGAAGTAGATTGTCTGACTTTCTGATGTTGCACCGGTGTCGGATTCACAATCAGAGCTAAGTCGAAAGAAAACATTCAGATGTTGGATTCAGCGGCTATGCATGGTTTCTGACTTTCTGAATGTTGCAGACTTGCCATGTTGATATTTTTCTTCAATATTTAAATGTTGTGGTACTGGAAAGAGTAATAAACCTAAATAATTTAGATGTGGAGTGTGTATATGTGAGATTTTTTTGGACAATTTACATTTTGACTTGGCTCAAGTTACATTCAAAATTACTTGGAGTTATATCATTTTGTGCGCGAGTTACATCATTCATGTGCGCGAGTTACATCATGGGAAAGTTCCCGAAATAGGACTAAAACAGTTTCAAAATTCCAAAATAGGACTGTCATATTTTTTGTTCCCAAAATAGGACTAATTATTGTCATGCTTAGAAAATACTGACATGTTTGAAGTCTGGAACTGCCAAAACATGGCAGTAATTAATCCTATTTTGGGAATAAAAACATGGCAATCCCATTTTGGAATTTTCAAACTGTTTTAGTCCTATTTCGGGCAATATCTCTTACATCATTCATGTGCGCGAGTTATATTTGAACTTGTCTCAGCAAGTTACATTTGATATTATATGAAGTTACATATTACTATGTATGAGTTACATCTTCTTACGCCTCAGTTACATCTTTTTATGCGCGAGTTATATTTGAGTTTGCCTTAACAAGTTACATTTTGTATACACCTAAGTTAGATTTTTCATCAATGCAAGTTACATTTTCCATAACATGAACCACTTCACAAAATAAACCCCTTTTATTGAAACAAAAAAAATCTTTTTTAAAATCAATTTCTTTTGTAAAAAATTGATTTTTGGTGAAAAAAATGATGGTCTTAATATTAAAAACAAAACATATTCATCATTTAGGTAAAGTTATTTAGCAATTAGATTCCCTTTATTTATTATTTACATTGAAATCAATGTCTTAGACAAGTTACATTTAGACTTACTTACATTGTCATTTCTTATTAACGTGCATTACATTTCTTTACACGCGAGTTAAATCATTCATGCTACTGGAACAAAAAGAAAAAAAAACAATTAATGTACTCACCATTTTTTTATTAAAAAAATTATGCAAAACTACATCGTTTTGGGAGTGGAGCATGGTGCAATGGTGCTCACACAAAAAGAACCGGTATATGAACCGATAAAAGGAGAGACAATACAAACCACACAATCTTATTTTAAATAAGAACGACATTTTGAAACACAGAAAAAGAAAGACAAATGAGATGAAAAATCAGGAACAGTAGTAGTATAAGCTGTTTTAAAATACTCAAAAATACATATTTGAGAGAAATACAAATAGGGGCCGCTTGGTAAACTGAAGTGGAGTGAATTGGCTGAAATTTACTAAATCTGCCGAATTTTGGGATCAGTTTTTGTTTATAAAAAATAGAAATTGTCCAATATAGGAGTAAATATAACAAAAATGCTATAGGTATCTCAATCCTACCCCAATTTGTACCCCATATAAAAGTTTTCTTATTTTTACCATTTTTTTACCCCTTCAAACATCTCTCATCCCACACACTCTCTTTCTTTCTCCCATCCGTCCCTTGCTATTCTCTCACCTCCATTCCCATTTTTTCTCCTCTTTTCATTTCAAGAGCTCTCATCTCCATTTTTGAAGGTTTCAAGATCTCTCCATCTAGTTGTCTCTAAGGTAACCATCCCTTCTCAAATAATGAGGTACGTACTCTATTTTTCGTTTTTTCCAACGCCTCAATCATTCCCCTCTCCTCAACGCTCGTCGATCCGAAATCCTCCATAAATCAAAGCACGGCCCGACGCCTCAGATCTCTGGCAGTAGAGGCCGGGGGAAGCCCCATCCGTTATGTGAGGCACTGTTTCGTCATTTTTCTATTTTGTCCTCATTTTTTGGTATTTTTTCGTCCAACTCCACATGAAAAAGGGTTGTCTGTCTGACAGACAAATTTGAAGTGCAGTGTCTGTCTAGCTGAGCATGGATTCATAATTGGTAGAGTCTTACATAAGATGTCTGTCTGGACCGACAAATTTATTTGTTTGAGTACATAGAACAACTTTATGTATGCACATCTTCTTATTTTACAAATGTATTTTATATTACGTGTGATGACTTTTGTGATGTCTCTTCGGATGTTGAAAATTGGTTTGTAGTTGTCTGTGAAGTGAAAAGATTTGTCTGGCATTCCATTTGATTTGTCTGTAATGTGAAATTAATTCTTTAAAATTAATTTGTAGTTGTCTGTATGTGAAAAGTGTTGTCTGGCATTCCATTTGAGTTGTATGTAATGTGAAAATAGTCTGTCTGTCTACATATGTATTGCAACAAATTGTCTGTAATGTGATATAAAATGTCTGGCATTTATTCTGAGTTGTCTGTCTACAGGTCGGGAGAATGTGGAATGATGGTGGCTTCCTTTGCAGAGCACCTGTTAATGGGAAAGTCATTGATTCCAGGTTGCGAGTATGCAAACATGTGGAACAAGGTGGAGGAAGCATATGAATTGTTATTAATGTGGGAATGTATTTTTGTGGGTTGTTTTGATGAGTTTAGTAAAACTGTATTTTATAGTACATTTTGATGAGTTTAGTAATTGTTAATGTGGTTATATAAAAGTGTTCGGAGATATGATTGTATTTGTTAATGTACAAATGAATTTGGTGAAAACTAAACATGTATAAATTGTATGTGTTGGTATGGAGTTCCTCAGTAAAGAAGCAATTTAAATAAGTCTGAATAAACTATTATAGGTGAAATACATCCGTTGAATAGACAAACAACACAGATAACCAGACAGACATTACTTTCACGCAGAAAGACAATAACCTTACACATACAGACAATACCGTAGATACCCAAACAAACAAAAGATGTGGATAATTGTAAATGTAATATTTGCAAAAACTTACACATGTTCAAAAAAACGAATCCAATTGTTCGACATTGAACATGTAACATTATACAATATTCAACACATTTTCCCAACTGTAATATGAAAAAAATACATGTTCAAAAAATCACAAGTTCAAAACGGGCACATTTCCCCAACACTATATACTTCAGCATCCTTGCATTTGTTTCTTCATTGCAAAAGAAGTCACATACGGTATTGATGGATAGTGTACCCGGGGGGTAGCTTATCTGAGGGGTTATTACGGGAATAACAAGAGAAGTCAGAGCAAGTAAGTATAGAGAGAGAAAGTATATTGGAGAGTGTTCAGCGTTTTCAGCGTGGTTACAAATGGGGAAATGAGGTGCTATTTATAGTAGCAATAAATGCCGGACAGGGACACGTGTCAAGCGTTCATTGGCCGAGGGGTCACCTCAACTGGTTGGCGCTGGCAACCGCATGTGGCCGCATTTAATGCGGCTGTTGGATGGGACGTTGTACAGGGTACGGTGATCTGTACGCATGTGGAGTGGATATTGTGTCGGAAGAGGCGCCCTCGACAGTAGATGACTAGCCGAGGGCTCTGAGTACTGGGGACCCCCTTGGTGTCGAGGGCTCCCACTGCCGAGGGCTACTGATTTTCGCCGTTTTTCCCAGTAACTTTGTTTTCCTGTCTTGGCCCTCTTGTGAGAGTTAGAGCCTTCGGCCAGGGGCCGAATACACCCCTGGTGCGCATTGTGGACTGCTCGGTACTCTGGGCGCTGTGATTTGGGCCTTTTGTGCTTTCTGGGCCTGCTGGCCCTTTATTAGAGTGGTAGGAGTCTGTGGGCCGGGGGTTCCCGGGCCATATATTCCATCAGGTATCATATTTGTAAATGAATTAGCATCCGCTTGGAACACTTTTTCAACCTTACATTTTAAGTCATTCGTCATCTTGAAGTGAATACCTACAATTAATACACAACACGTAGTCAGAACACATATTTGGTATAAATAGCATATGTGAGGCATAGTCCATTTGTCTGGAAGAGACAACTATTGTCTGGCACAGTCAACTTTTGTCTGGCTATGAGACAGAGAGTAGTTAATTGGTCCAAACTACTAATGTCTGGCCCATACAAAATTTGTCTGGCTATAAGACAGAGAGTAGTTAAATGGCCCAGACTACTAATGTCTGGCTCAGACAAAATTTGTCTGGATGTAATACAAAGAGTAGTTAATTGGCCCAGACTACTAATGTCTGGCCTAGACAAAATTTGTCTGATTGTAAGACAAAGAGTAGTTAATTGGCCCAGACTACTAATGTCCGGCCTAGACAAAATTTGTCTGGCTGTAAGATAGAGAGTAGTTAATTGACTCAGATTTTAAGACAAAACCGCGTTCACTTTAGGCTAGACAAACAATGCAATTCTAAATTGTCTGTCCGCCAAACAAAATACAAACAAATGACAAAAAAACAACATACTCTACTCCAAGTCTTCAACGTCCACACCTTCATCATCTTCTTCCCTTGAGGTACAAAAAATGGGGAAAAGTCTTGAATTTCAACAAAAAATTCATTGAGTAATTTCTACAAACATGTTATGGGCATAAAATGAACTAGAGAAATTACACTAAAATTTTAATTAATTAACAACTCTAAATGATCACAATGAAACAAACTAATCAATTATTCACTGTTATATCATACATTCATACATAATATACATAAAATCGAAAAAAGGAAAAAAATTAAAATAAAAAACGCACATGAGGAAAAAATGGAAAATAGAGTATGTACCTCATTATTTGAGAAGAGATGGTTACCTTAGAGACAACTAGATGGGGAGATCTTGAATCCTTCAAAAATGGAGATGAGAGCTCTTGAAATTAAAAGAGGAGAAAAAATGGGAATGGGGGTGAGAGAATAACAAGGGACGTATGGGAGAAAGAAAGAGGGGGTGTGGGATGAGAGATGTTTGAAGGGGTTAAAAAATGGTAAAAATAGGGAGGCTTTTATATGGGGTACAAATTGGGGTAGGATTGGGGTACCTATAGCATTTTTGTAAATATATAAACATAATTGCACAAATAGGAATAAAACTTAAAACTTCCTTCAATAGGTTAACAAGGGACGTATGGGAGAAAGAAAGAGGGGGTGTGGGATGAGAGATGTTTGAAGGGGTTAAAAAATGGTAAAAATAGGGAGGCTTTTATATGGGGTACAAATTGGGGTAGGATTGGGGTACCTATAGCATTTTTGTAAATATATAAACATAATTGCACAAATAGGAATAACATAATTGCAAAAATATATTTTTTGAAAAATAAATAAATAAATAAATAAATTATTATTATCGAATAAGTCATAAATTAACTAGGTTATGATTAAAGAAGTCATATTTTAGAATTAACTAGGTTAGGGATATTAAGGGTACAAAATTAATGTTTACTCCTTGGAGTAAACATTAATTTTGTACCCTTAATATCCCTAACCTAGTTAATTCTAAAATATGACTTCTTTAATCATAACCTAGTTAATTTATGACTTATTCGATAATAATAATTTATTTATTTATTTATTTATTTTTCAAAAAATATATTTTTTTAAATAAAAAACTTAAAAAAATAAAATAAAATCCACCGCCGCCTCAGCCGCCTCAGCACCACCACCTCCAGTCACCAGGGGAAAAAATGCCAAGTTCATTACGAATGCCATATTTATGGCAGATAACAATGAAAATGTTGGCATTCGCAAAGAGAGATATGCCACGTTTTTGGCATTTTCAGAAAAAAGGACAGTTTTTAGGAAAAATGGAATTTTTTTTCACCGCCCGGAGGTGGTGGTGCAGGGAGGTAGTGGAGGCGGTGGGAAAGACATCCATATTTTTTTTATTTTTTTTATGGAGTTTTACTATTTATTATTATTTTTTTTTTAAAAATAAAAAATTTAAAAAATATATTTTTTTAAATCTTTTATTTTATTAACATTTTATAAAATTTTTAATTATTTTTCTACGATTTTTTTATTTTTTTTTCGAATTTATTATGAATTAAACATTTAATTAAAAGTTGTTGGGCCTTGGGTAGGGATATACTTGTCCAAACACTAAAGTTACTCCTATTCAAAACATAGTACTCCTATTTTTGCATTTTGCCTATGTTTTACTCCTATTTGGGGAATTCTCTCTATAAAAAACTTAGGGCCTATTTACTAACAGAGATATTTTCAAGTTTTCTATATCTGTTTTGCGTTCTCTAATTTTCGGTTTTCATTTTCCACTTTTTCTATCTCCAATTTTCTGTTTTCATTTTTTAGTTTCAATTTTCAAATCTCAAAACATGTTCACCAATTTTTTTCACTCGGTTCTGTGACCGACCAAAGACCAAAAGTATGATCCCGTCCGGAATCGAACCTAGTACAACCCAAGTAAGGTACCGAGTCCCACATATACTCCCTCCGTTTCTGAAACAAGTTCCACATTTGACTTCACACATATTAAGAAAATAAATTTGACTTTACTGTGGAGGGCACTGTTTGAGCACTGTTTGGCACTGTTTGAACATTGTTTGACACTGTTTTGATGTAGATAATTTGTCAAATAAGGAAATGTTTGAAAGTGGAACTTAATTTTGAATCTGCCCGAAAAGGAAAGGTGGAACTTGTTTCAGAAACGGAGGGAGTATGAAAGTAGGGACCGAAACCGGCCGGTCATGGTCGATCTCAACGGTTAGTTTGACGAATTCTTTTTCCATTTTCCTATTGGTTTATAACTCAACGGCTCTTTTAAGACTATTCAATCTAAAAAATGATTTCAAAAAAACGAGTCTGAACTGTCATGTCATTGACCGGACGGGATGTGGAACGCCAGTTCGTTGATTGGACAGGACGGGGACCGTCGGGTTGTTGACGGGACGGAGGGAGTACGTTACAAAATGTACAATAATATTTGTTGCAACCTTTCAAGAATACCTTTACTCTAATATTGTTGTCATTTTTTGCTCGCGTTATATTGAACTATTCTTGTTAGTACTCTTTTTATAATGAGCAGAAATTTGATTTTGCACCTCACTTTTTTTTGGTGATTTTGGACCTTACACCCTATTTATGATTTTTTTTTTAATTTGCACCCATCATATGACATTTTGTGAAGAAACATTATCGGGGGTGTAGCTCACCTGCTAGAAAGGGGGTGCGACATGGGAGAGGTCTCGGGTTCAACTCCAATCAATGACTTGGGATAGAATCCCCACTCTCTTTCCATTATAGTGAGATCAAAGCTCAATTTACATCCTTCTTGATAAATTGTCTTGTTGGTTCTGGCCCCCCAAGGATGAGATGTCATCCTTTATTTTGTGAATAAACATTTTTGAATATGGTGCCAAGTCAACGGATTTTTAAGTGAAATAGGATGCAAAGACAATTTTTTTTTAAAATGGGGTGCAATGTCCAATATTATCCCAAAAGAAATTTTGGTTTGTGTTTGCGATTCGAAACCCTAGATGGAGAATCAACTAAGAAGGCGGAGGTCCTTGATGTTACAATTAGGGATGGATCCGTGCCGGTCCGGGCCCGGACAGAACCAGTACTATAAAATTGGAGCCCGGTACCGGTCCGGGTATGCTCTTGGACTGATTCTGGTCCGGGCCCAAACAATATCGTGCCCAGGTCCGTACCACCCATTTAATTAATTTTATTTTTTAAAATAACGCCCGGACCGGGCCCAGTCCATCACTAGCTACAATTGGCGAAATTAGATTGCGGCATAAAGGATGGCTGCAAGTCGTGGTGGAGCTTAGGCGGTGGTGGTTTAGCGCGATGAGGATGAAAGAGAGCAGGCTAGCCAGATATTTTGGTTGGAGCTGTAGATGTAGATGATACGTTGGAATAACTGAAAGCAAGGTCGATCACTTTCCTGTCAATTTTTAAAAGGTCACATTTTTGACAATTGAAAATTGGGAAATAATACCTATGCCATTCTTTTATACTCCGTATTTTTTTACACTCCATTTTACAAAAGAATTAAAGAGTTTTTTCAAAAAATGTTTCTAAAATAAAACTCATTTACGTAAATATGGCGAATAGTTACCACAATATAGTGTCACGATCAATTAAGTCTAAAGATTGAACATAAGTTACTATGATTATGTTATTACTAAAATCACTAGTCACATTCTTATAAACAATGTTTATTTTGATTATAAATATATAATCATTTAAGAAATAAATATAAAAATATATTCCTTCCTATTTTTTTAGGGAAAAGGTACAAATATACCCTTGTAGTATGAACGTGAGAACAAGTATACCCCATACTATTTTTCGTAACAAATATACCCCTGAAGTATATGATGAAGTGTGTATATACCCCTGAACTTTTAAAAAGTGCAAAAAAACCCTTGATGTTCTTATAAAGGAGCAAATTCACACTTATTGACTTTAAATAGATAAAATAAATTTCAATATAAAGATCTATTATTATGTTAAAATATTAACTCTTTAATTTTAAATATCTATACTAATATTTTTCTATTTTAAACGAAGAACCAAATTCATAAATATTATTTTCAGTCTTGTTGCGAAATTTTGAACACATTGTTAATTTTTTTAAATAACACTCTATGATTTTGTTTACCCTTATTAAAATTAAATTCACTATTTTGTAATCTTGAATTATTTATCATCATACAAAATATGTAATTTATAGTGCAAAGAATGCAAAAAATTAATAATTTTTTTTACATTGCAACACATATGTTAATTAGCACTTTTTTGAATGAATCTAAATTATAGAGTACAGTTTTGAAATACTATTTTATGCTGACATATTAAATTGTGATATAAAAATAATAAAAAGGGAGAAACATTGGACACAAGTACATTTTTATAATTTTTTATTTTTAATTTTAAATTTATAATTTATTTTTGGTGTTTTTTGAAATTTATTTTGTCAATTTAAAGTCAATAAGAGTAAATTTGCTCCTTTATAAGAACATGAGAGGTACTTTTGCACTTTTTGAAAGTTCAGGAGTATATATGCACTTCAACATATAATTCAAGGGTATATTTGTTCCGAAAAATTATATAAGCATATATTTGTTCTCACACTCATAGTACAAGGGTATATTTGTACATTTTTTTATTAGGGGTGAAGCATCTCTCAATTCATTTATTTATACTTAGAAATACGTAGTCCTTATTAATGAAACAGTTCGTACATTTTTTCTTTTCTTCACAATGTGAACGAATGACTCTTTCGTTTAGCATAGATTACGGAGTACGTTGTACGTAGTAGTAGTATTTTTTTTTGTATCAGTGAAAAAAGAAATACGTATTCGGAGTGGGTAGGGGACAGGAATTATGTGGCCTTGGATTCTTCTTCTGATAGCAGCGGTTCGTGCTGCCAGCTTTACTAGGAAAGGGTGTGGGCGCAACACTAAAGTATGAGCCTTTCACTGTGTTCGACGAAAGACTTTTTATTACTCAGTATTTTATTTTTTAAAATCAAATATTCATCATATAATTGTATTTGCACATGATGATTATATTTTCCTGGTTTAAGGATTAATCAGTAAGTGCGTATTCATTGAGAGAGAAAAAAGGGGGAAGAAGGTCTGAGAAGACCTTTTTGTTCGCTAGCTGGGACTGGTCATGCCATATTTCTGCTGAGAATTCAAGATGAGAGCAGAAGAGCTCGCGCCAATGGTGGCGCTGTGGGCGGTGGCGCTTGCCGTCGGGGTTATGGTCAGTGGTCTGAGCTCCGCCGCTGCTGACACATATCCAAATGATGGTTTGTTCATTCTCCCACTCCCCTGGCCTCGTGTGTGTTTGTGGTTATGTCTATAAACATCCTTTTTCTAATGTCTTTGTTTTTGGGTTTCTTGGAGTGTTAGTGTTTGATTTGGAATAATGAGTAAAGACGCCAACTTTTTTTATCATATGCTTTTTTATACACTTTTCTGGGCTGCAAAAGACGACAACTTCCTTTGTTAAGGCCTGGATTTGTTAAACATGAAATATTCCCTTATTCATCAAAAGGTTTTGATGGTTAAAGAAGGAAGATTCCCATAATCCCATTCTCAAGTTTCATTTGATGGAACATTGCATCTCTCTCTGTTGTGCGGGATTACTTATTTCACTTTCTTCTTTGATGGCTTACCTGTTCAAGTAATGTCTGAAAAATGGTCCTTTTACTTCATAATTTGTATTTAGAAACTTAGAAAGCATTTTGGGGACTTTTTTAATCTTTCATTATCAGTTTGTGGCTTTGAGCTTTTCATAGAATGAGTTAGCTTGATTCTGTCCCCACAGAGGTCTATATATAGTTATCTCAAAGGTTTTCAGGAACAACTGAACGTGTTCCTAAATTAAGTTATTCTGTGCTTTTGGGATTGAAACGTAATATTAAAATATACTCCATATCACAGTGCATTAATTTTGCATACACAAGTAGTAAAATGGAGACTTCCCGTTTTTTCCATTTTCAGCAAACATTCTGAGGGCATTGTTCTCCAGCCTGAGCTTAGCACCACAGCTAACAAAATGGAACGTTAATGGTGGTGACCCTTGTGGAGAGTCATGGAAGGGCATAACCTGTTCAGGGTCTGACAATAGAGTAACTGGAATGTAATCCTCCAATAATATCCCATATAACTTATCATCATGCACTCTACCTCAACTTGCAAAATCCATGTATTAATTTTTTCAATCTTTTTCAGTGATATTTCAAATCTAGGACTCACTGGGTCATTGGGATTCCAACTGGATCAACTGAGTTCTGTAACCACCTTGTAAGGGCGACAGTTTGAGATGTTAGTTTCGTGTGGTTATTTGGAATGTTCTATAGTGATGATTTCCTTCAAATTTGCAGTGATATAAGCAATAATAATCTTGGGGGAATGTTACCATACCAGCTTCCTCAAAATGTGCAGAAACTGTAAGATTCTCACTTGCCTGGTCTTCTGTTTTTTTGCAAGTAATTAAAGATGTCTTTATCACGATCTACAGTATATTAAATGCAGAAATGTTGCTGCCAATGGCTTTAGTGGTGTCCTTCCATATTCTATCTCACAAATGCCTTCTCTTGAATATTTGTAAGCTATGCTTAAAACAAACTTTATCCAAATTCTAATACAATTTTGATTTGAATTTGTATGACTTATTATACTTTATGCTTCCTTCATTTTAAATTGTAGAAATGTGAGTCACAATCAACTTCAAGGTGAGGTGGCTGTGATGTTTTTATCACTTACAAACTTATCAACACTGTAAGATACTAAGACCTCGTTTTCCTCATTTTTTCCATGTGCAGAAATACTTATATTTTTTTATTACTGTAAACTGATCAAGAAGTCCTAAGATATTCATGGGGTGACGTGGGTATTCTTTTCAATGGAACCAAATATACTTTCATGCAACTTATATGCCTAACTGCTTGTTGTTAATGGATGGATGGAGAGACCAGACTATTTTCTTTTGCTTATCTTCTCTGCTTCCTTTGGAATTTGTTTTGATGAAGGATTAGAAAATAAAATAGGGAGGAAAGTAGAGAGGAAACTTGGAAGGAAGGAAAATTCAGAGAGAATAAAAGACAAGCTCAAATTTAGATATTTATTCAATCTCACTTTGTACATATTCTTATATATTGTGTAAAAACAGAGCAGTCTAAATAGATGTATTAAATATTTTTAATACTAATAATATTATTTTCCTTCACATTTTCTGGAGTAAACTAGTAAAGTCATTCATAAGAAAATATTTTCCCTTCACATCATTCTCCTTTGTTTAGCAGTTTGGGATCCAAACATATCCTAACTATGATTATGATGATTTCTCTTAATACTTCAGGGATTTCTCGTTTAATAATCTCAATGGTAATCTTCCCCAAACGTTCAGCTCACTTACAAATATGAAAAATATGTAAGTATACATTTTCTTTGTTTTTTAAGCACTTGTCATGTTTTCTTGGAAAGCTGCTAAACACATATGGGTGTCTGTCATCTTTTAGGTATTTGCAAGACAACCAGTTCACTGGAACTATTGACGTTCTTGCAAATCTTCCCCTTGATAATCTGTGAGTTGTATATATATGTCTTAATGTATTTACTTTGTGTGTGTAGCTATATATATTTGTGTTTCGGTATCAAATGCTTCATATGTTTGTTGGAATGAACCGTTTAGGCTGTTACTCATACTTCTCTTATAGGAATGTGGAGAACAATCAATTTACTGGATGGATCCCTTCACAGCTGACGGGCATTAAAGGTTTAGAGTGAGTATTTCAAACTACAAGGGATTTGAATATGGGCATGATTAGCACTCCTAAAATTTGAATTTGGGTGGGCCAGAAAAATAATTCATTTATATAGATTGTATTCGGGGTGGGCCAAGGTTCGAGAGAGCATCTCAACAACTCAAATATTAAGTAACAACTAATAACTACTACGTATTTCTTTAGCCCATCTTCCATCTTTCCCTAGTCGTTACCATTTTTAGCATTCCAAACATAGCATGTGTCTAACTTTCAGTTCTTATATACAGAACGGGAAATAATTTGTGGAGCTCAGGGCCTGCACCCCCACCCCCACCTGGCACACCACCTGTGGTCAAGCCGAACCATAGACCTGAAGACAGTAGCAGCCCGCCAAGTGGAGGCAGTGATAATGGTGGTGGTGGTGGTGGAGGAGGAGGAGGAGGAGGAGGAGGAGGAGGAAAATCCGGTATAGGGGGTGGTGCTGTTGCAGGAATCATACTATCCGTTTTAGCTATAGGAGCACTAGCATTATTCTTTATTATGAAGAGGAGAAGATCAAAGAGGGAATCAACAGATATTGAAAAGGTTAATAACAATCATCAGTTTCCTCCTCTCGTCTCACATGAAGCACAAGGTATGCCTGAAAAAGTGTTTTATATGAGTCACAAGTTCACAACCTATTTTATTCTCCAGACGTCTCTCAGAACTTGTTGGATCTTTATAGATCTTGAGATAATGAAACAATATTTAATAGGCTTAATATGATTTTAGAGATATTTACCCCTCTTATGACTAAAAGAAGCTATGTTTGCCAATATATGACTCCTTGAGTTTTTTTCCTATTATCATACTTAAATACGGTGCATGGTCATTCCTGTTGTTCTTAATCTTTTTTTAATTCAACCGTTACCTCAATTCTAACAAGTAACTAATTCATCCTAAAAATATGGAAATGATTCAAATGAACAATGATTTCCACGATCAGTTAGAAGGTTTGTATTTTTAGTCATACCAAGGTCAAAAAACATGGTTAGTCATATTATTGGAATTCACATGAGTTTTAGTAATATATAGATAAATTTCCCATGATTTTAATCTGACAAGTGTGAGGTTTTTCCTTTTAGGTTCCTGTGTTATCATTGTTATTCATCCTTGTAGTTTGTGCTACTTTCTTATTAGTATTTCCATTTAAAATAATTGGGGTAGTGCACAAAAATCCAGTTTAGACTTCCAATGCAAAAATTGCTGCAAGTTAGGATGTTTTTACTTGGATTGTAATTTGCTGGTTTGATCTGGTCTGGTCTGAACTGGTCTGGTATGGTTTCTTTGTATTTTTATAACTATCCAAGTCTGGTCTGGCCTGGGACGAATTACAGTCCAAGTAAAAACATCCTTATATGTGACCATTTCAAAAGTTTGGGATAATCAAAACTCATCATTTCCATATTTCAATATACTACCTCCGTCCCAAATTACTTAGCCAAACTTGACTTTTCAAGTCAACGGCCTCTAACTTTGACCAATTATTTAAGCTAATATATTTATGCAAAATTTAATAATTTTATACTTTTATAATAGTGTTTTTAACAAAGAACATTTTCATATCATTTTCATATTATCAATACTTTCTCTATATAAACATATAATCGGTCAAAGTTAGACGATGTTGACTTGAAAAGTCAAGTTTGGCTAAGTAAATTGGGACGGAGGGAGTATGATTCTTGCTCTCTGGGGATAAAATTCAAAACCATTTTTAAAATGATTTGGAAAAGCTAGCTAGGAGTTCTATGAGCCATGTCAGTTTTTCATAAACAAAGGTTGACAGTGGGGGACTAAAAAGAAAATGACATAAAATTACAAAGATAAGTGAGAGAAAGATTATTTTATGGGGGCCTAAAATAAAAAATGATTATCTGGACGGATGAAAAATGTACATCAACTTGTTTAAAATACTTGCAAATGTAAGAGTTGTCGATGGAAGCTGTAATATAATTTGGTTAATTTCCTGTAACTTTGCATGCAGAGAGGAAATTTGTTCAAACCGAGTCCACACCAGGAATGAAAACCTTCGACAAACCCATTGAAGTTATAAATTTAAGGCCACCTCCAGCTGATCGCGCTAAATCATTTGATGAAGATGATTTATCAGCCAAAGCAATTGTTGTTACTCCCAAGAAAATTGATACTTCTCAAATAAATGCCACTCAATACACTGTTGCTGACCTACAAATTGCTACTGATAGCTTCAGCGATGAGAATCTTCTTGGTGAGGGATCAATTGGAAGTGTTTACCGGGCTCAATTTGAAAATGGAAAGGTATAACCCTACACAAGAATAATACTTTTCTCCAATGCAGCTTTTGATGTTTACCTTAAATAGATATTATTACGTCTACCTCCCTCTGGGTTTGGTTAAATTAGCAAATGACCTTAGAAGTTTTTGTAAATTACATATAAGCCCCTTGACCAGCCAGATTTCCCACAAACAACACCGGGAAATATAATGATATTAGTAGGGATTAAATATTTTGGAACTAATTATCCACAAAATTAGTCCTGATAATTTTTTAGAGAAGGCTTTAAATTTTAGCTTAAAAAATGCATGAAAAGCCAAATTCAATCTTAACAGTTAAGACACTCAATTCTGGTTGATGTCATTATTATTCTATTATCTTTCAATTTTAAAAGACCAACATCATCCAAGCCTTAGTCCCAAAAGACTTTGGTTGGCTAACATGCATCAACCCATCAACATATGAAATAGAAGTTAAAAGGGATTAACTTGATCAGGGGCTTATGAAGAGGTTTATCTGTAATATTTGGAAGTATCAAGGGATTTGGCTAATCTCGGGGAAGTGGATGCAATCAATCCTTCAATAAATGATGTATATACCATTTTATCATAGTTACACTATTTATTGTCTTAGGTTTTTGCTGTAAAGAAAATTAATTCGTCCGCTATCAAGAATCCAGAAGATTTTCTTGATATAATTTCTGAGATATCCCGGCTGCATCATCCAAATGTTACTGAGTTAGTTGGATATTGCTCAGAGTTCAACCAGTATCTACTAGTTTATGAGTTCTACAAAAGTGGTTCTTTGTATGATCTTTTGCACCTATCGGATGAGTACAGCAAGACACTTGCTTGGAACTGCAGAGTCAAGATTGCTTTGGGGGCAGCACGTGCACTTGAGTAAGTTTAGTTCATCAATATTTTTATGACTATTTTGTAAGGAAGACATTATTTGTAAAAAGAAAAAAACAGAACCTGCGAAAACCCTAAACATGTGATTTTAATTCAAATTTCGTTTGAAAAGATGAATACTACGAAGTAATATAGAATAATAATATGGAACCTGCTAAACCCTGATAAATGCAGATTTAAATTCGAACTTTCTTGTAAAAAGTGTAGTATACATTGAAGTATGCATGCAAGCTTACTAAGCATCTTTTGCAGGTACCTACATGAAGTTTGCTCACCATCGGTGGTTCATAAAAACTTCAAATCTGCTAACATTCTGCTAGATTTAGAATTCAACCCACACCTATCAGATTCTGGTTTAGCAAGCCTCATACCGGTTGAAGATCAGGTAGCTTTTTGACGCCTTTGAATTTGATTAGTGCTTGGCCATTCTGTTTAATGTTTCTAATATAATTTTATGTAAATGCCTTTATTTTATGTAAACATAACAAAAAATAAGCATGTCTTCACAACAATAATGATATCAATTTACTGTGTTTTCTGCAGGCCCTAAACCATAATTCAGGATTGGGATATGGTGCGCCTGAGGTAGATAAGCCGGAGCAGTATACAATAAAGAGTGACGTGTACAGTTTTGGGGTTGCCATGTTGGAACTTCTTACTGGAAGAGTACCATTTGACAGGTGCCAAACTAATTTTATTAAAGAACCTGTCGACCCTCTCCCCTTGCCCCAAATGAGAGATGTTATTAGAAAATACCTCTAATATCATTACTTGCTCTCTTTCTCTATATTATGCAGTTCAAGGCCAAGATCTGAACAGTCCTTAGTTCGATGGGCTACACCTCAGCTTCACGACATTGATTCCTTGTCTAAGATGGTTGATCCAGCACTTAAAGGGCTTTATCCTGTTAAATCTCTCTCCCGATTTGCTGATGTCATCGCACTCTGTGTCCAGGTAATGTCCTATGTCAAAATTTTATGATTTAATGAAATCAAATATCAATGTTTTAAATAACAAGTGTTAGGTGTTAGACTGGGTTCGAGTGGCTTGTCTCTGATTACTTCGGGGTTTGGGGCTAAGCTAGAAAAAAAGTTATGCTCCTAAGGAGAAAAATAGTAGATTCATTTTGAAATGCTTTTGTTTTGAAAAACTATAGTAGATTCAACCATTTTAACCAAATAACCCTTAAGGGGCAAGATGCCCAAGGAGCATAACCAGTAGGGGCGATTACTCGGGGCCTACGTAGAGATTTTTACAGCAAATTAATCAATTGCTAAGCTTTAAAGCAAAGGGAGATGACAATTATCAGGCCGTTTGGTAATGCTTAAAATGATTAAAATGTCTGGTGTAAGAATGGGTCAATTGATCGAGGCTTGTAGAAATTATTGTATACTACATATGTGTGTGTGTGTGTGTTAATTTAATGAATTAAATAAAGTAATTCCTAAAAAAGAATAGCATAAATTTGAACAATTATATAAAATAGAGTAGTGCTTAATATGGTTGACTTTGATTCTGGTTGAATGAGTGAATTTTCTGAACTATCTAAAGTACTAATACTGCATCTTATTTATAAGAAAATTATTTTTCAGTTAAAGAAATTACTTTCTAAAAGGGTAGAAGCATCATTTAAGCAAAAAAACTTATGCAATACATTTTTCTCTCTATATATAAGCAGATTATGCCAACATAGTGAAATAAGGTGTTTTTTGGTATAAAAAAACTAGCAGATAAGCGGAAAAGGAAGCCTTACCAAACCAACTCCATATTTTTGATAACTTACTTCAAATGACATTATTCAGTCTTGAAACCAAGCATTTCAGCCTAGCTGATTGTGAGGTTACTGTGCCTAGTGAGAGGTCTCGAGTTCGAAACCTGCTAGGTACATAAGGGTTTGAAACTCAATGGAGTGAGTTTCAGCCCTGATTACTCCAGGCCCCCCAGGCCCCCTCCCCCAGACGCCCCCTGGAGTAACAAAAAGACATTATTCAGTCTTGACGGTGCTTTTAAAAAATGTTTCAGCCGGAGCCCGAGTTCCGACCACCAATGTCAGAAGTTGTTGAAGCGTTGGTGCGGCTGGTGCAACGGGCCAACATGAGCAAGAGGACATTTGGCCCAGATCCACTGACTCCCCGGTCCGGGAGTGCGGATTCTCAAGAGTTCGATCCGTAGCCTTGCGTATAATAAACTGCTGCTTAATCCAAGGTCCACGTGCCTGGCCGAGCACCTTTTGCTGTGAATCCTGCCCGATCTGTTCATCTGCCTCGGTTGCATTGTAGCAATGTAGCATCATCACATAGTAGCATGGTCCTATAATCTTGTTAATACCACATTCTACTCCTGGATTCTTATATTTTTTGTATGGGAAGAAGTGAAAAGAGGATACGTACTCCCGAACTATGGATGAAATCTTTCCTCATATACAACGCAAGCCCTTTCGGCCTTTCCTATTATTTACATCCATTTCTTTGTTGGAGTGGGGTACTGGGATTGGGGAGGGGGTTCATGTAAAACGGAAATATATGTCCAATATTTTTCAGATTATTGCCAGTTCCAAATTACTCCACACAAGAAAACTGGGGCTATGATCCCAAACCAGTCAGCAATGTCCTAAAATAATAATGTATACGAGTAATTTGACAAGATTTCTTCCCTACTAACTATGAAGGGTTTCCTTCCTGTTGCGGTGTCACCCATCTTTATGTTTTCCAATTCCACCGTAAGGCTACAAATATTTACTAGTCTCATTTTGTTAGTTTCATGTTACGGTGTTACCCTTTTTAGGTCATTTGAATATACTTGTTCAATATCAATTATCAACTTTTTTTTGAAAGTTTGTTCAGTATCAAATTGATCAACTTTTTTGGTCTGGTCACTTTTACTAAAAAACAATATCTCGTATACAAATATACAATCTTACTTTGTCGTAACATTTGGTCAAACTTTGTGTCACACATTTTTACATCGTTTTTTATTGAAATTATGACTTTAATGGCGGATTGGCGGTATTTGTTAGATTATAAATTCATTAAACTTCAATTATATTTCTTTTATTATTAACCAAATGTGTTGATTCAACAAATTGGTATTTGGTAAATAATGACTAAGAAAGCTGATATAAGCTATAAACATGATTGCCTAACGGCTCTTCTTAGGACCGGTAGTTATTATGTTTGGTCCACTTCATGCAATCATGCCTACCGTACTTCCAAAACCCTCAATATACAGTTATACACCCACTGACCCACAACGAATTTTCAAGACTCAGTTGATAGGTCGCAGGAAAGATATATACTGGCAAAAAATCTAGTTATTTATCAAAACAGAAAAAAACGTCAAAGACAAAAAGTGGGGACTACCCAATATACCAAAGCTGTAAAATTTATACACTACATACACACAAACATAAAGGCAAGAATGAGCAAACGGCTAGACCACTTCATCTCCTTAAAAATCAGGCAACATTGATCAGCCAAATGCAGTATATAACTTGATGGAGAGCGTATTTCCGATTCCACCAAATTTGTGGTGGCCATACGCACCCCTAGTCACAATAGTCCCCAAGTGGCCAAGTGTATGAAAGTTTGGGACGCTCACTCGTCATCTGCAATGAAGTTTGGGATTTGACCCTGACAAAGATACTCATCACACAGAGATGCAGATCCCCAGCCCCTCCGAAGCCTTAAAATGTCCTCGGTGAAGGTGGATCCGGGAGATCCTATGAACACAGCGGACAATGCACATATTGTCTTGTCCAGCATTGCTTCCACCTTCAAAGCCAAAATATCCGTAAAATATTGAAGGAAAAACAGCAAGCCAATGAAAAACAGTATTCATGTGCGTGTGTGTGTGTGTGTGGGGGGGGGGGGGGGGGGGTCAGATCAATTATACATCATTTATACACCTAAATAGCCCCAAAGGGACTTCTCCAACAGACATTACTTGTCTCCCCTCTCATTCCCCAGAACCCACAAATTGAATTAATGCTCAAAGTTTCCCTAGAATTGCCATAATAATACATTGTGTATAACTACACATACACACATAAATGATTCATGGAGTCCAGTCCTAACCCTAAGCATTTGTTGGTTCAAAAGAAGAGGAGGAAAATGGAAGAGTTATAAAGTTATGTTTGATTCAATGGAGGAGCAAAATAGGAATTAATGTTTTAAAAATAGTATATTTGATATAACTTCTAATGTAAATTAATACACTTATACACTGATCTATATGAATAACAAAAATGATAGAGTACTTTTGATTTAAAAAAGGCCAAAAAGAAATTAACAAAAAAAACCAATGAAATACCCTAAATGGGGGGGGGGGGGGGAGTCAGGGAGTGAAATATGTGAAGTTTGGAGGAGTTCTAGCTTCTCCACTTTTCTCCCCTTTCCCCTAATTCCCTAAATAAATAAATAAATAAATAGAAACATGCAAAGAATGAGTTGCAATTAACTCTTCAGCCAATAAAATAGTGTGCCAATAACTCAAGTGTGGGTTAAGTAAAATGCTCACCTGAGTGTCTCCCTCAAGGCCATGCCGATATAATAAAGCATCCCATTTTTCTGCTGAATTCCGAGCAGGTCTTGTAACAAGAGGTACACCCTTTCCATTGAGGAGAACCAGAGACTGAAGCAAATTAGTTTCACTTTCTGCGGCATCAGTAGATAGATATATTACTGGAGAATCGGCTCTTTCAACCACACGATTGATGCAATCAGCAGCTTGAGGAATGGGGTAAAAGCAACTCGGTTTTTTGGCATTGCTGGTAATTTAGCTCAAGTGTTATTAGGAAAAAAATACATATTTATCAAATCATATTAAGCTCTAGCGGACAACTACATCATTAGATGCATATTTGAATGCAATGTGATGCAAAGTATGAGGTCGAGCATATTTCTCAATGACCATTTGGTAGTCAATTTTCTGGCATATCAGCACACTTTTTAGCCATTTTTTATCCTACTTACCAAAGACTAGATTATTTGATTACCCTTACCCCACCGTAGGTAGGAGCCTTTGCAGTACTGGGGTAATGTTGTTTTTGTACTAGATTATTTGATTGCACACACTAAATTGAATAATAACAATGACAAAGAACCACACATATCTTGGTGGTAGCTGTAGCCTGCAGAAATGGTCATTCTAAAATAACTTTATATTTTCTTTACTTTATCAACAAAATATATATTAGATATTTCCTTTTGCATAAATAAAAAACTACAGAAACTTCATTTCCACAAGCAACAATTCCAGAAATTTCAGCAACTTCACTAAATTCACTCTTACCAATAGAAGGCAAAGATACACCTTCATGTAACACTTATCACTTTCAAGTTTTTGTTTTTTCTCTTTTATACTCATGTTTTGTATTACTTGCCCCACTTTCCTAATTTGGAAGTATACTCAAATGAATATACATAAAAATCCTTACTTTCATATCTCCACTTTCTTACATTTTCTACCGTTTCAACTTTCTATTACTATTCTCTACCCTACAACATCCCTCTTAAAAACAATACAAAATCTAATGGATTAACTAAAATAATGGAGGGAGTACGACTAAAATTAAAGACAGACTTCTAGGATGACTAAAAATGAGAATGTCGCAAATGAAATCATTTACAGAAAAGGAATACAACAACATCCAACCCTTAGACCCAAAAGATTTTGGGGGTTTCCAGAAAAGGAATAGCATACCAAAATTTCAAGAAACCGTGCCGACGGAAATGAAGAGCTATGAATCTGTCACCCAAAAATGTCTGAACAAATCTTTGGGCAGTGAGCACAATAAGACGGCTGGGCTCAATCAGGGTTTTACACTTGTGTGCAATGGGTCCACCTGGTTGCATCACCGCGCCTCTCTCAACATCCGCAAAGAACACATCGCCGATAGCAATAACATCATCAACTGAAGAAAACTTTGAAACTACATCTTGGATGGTCTTTTGTGATGGCTTTTTAATATCCTCGTTCCAAGCAGTTTCCAGCTTGTTCATGGAAACTCCTGAAGATTTCAACTTTTTAATCCGTTCTTCATCCATGAAACAAGGTTGTGGCAGGGAAAAATAACAAATGAACCTATCTATATGCACACGATTCTTCTGACTTTCTGCAAGCTCCTCATAAGCAATAACTACTTTTCTCCCCAAACACGTATTAATGTGTTCAATATCCAAAACCCTTTGAAACTCATAGTCGACTTTTGAGCTGGGAATGACCAAGATGCGATTAAGCACTGCTGCAAAAAACATATGTTTCTCCAAACAAATCAAATGGTTCGACATTTGACCAGAGACACAAATGGCAAACAAATACTTATTTGGTTCTGGCTTCCATTCGATAGTTTTCCGCTCAGACCACCCCTGATCAACCTTTGCACACCTATCTAGTCCGCTAATGCTTGGATCTGTGAAATTATCCGATGATAAATCTAATGAATTCTGGAATTGATGTGACGACAGAAGAGCTTCTTGAATTTTCTTGTTCAAAGAGATCTGACTAAGCAAATCAGCTTTCATATCCTCTGAAATTACAGTGGAAGATGATGAGCTCGAAAGCAATTTATTAGAATTAGAATCACCAGTATTATTAACAGAAGCGGAACTCGTATTTAGGAACGAGTGGTTCCACAGCTTGAAAAGCCCTAATTGCTGCTGCCTAAGCATATACAGAGCACGTAACTCGGACTCGTGCATGCGACTAACCGTAGAGTCGAAGGCAATATTAGAGACTCCAGTTCGGAAGATGCCTTTGATGTCAGTGGTAACGTAGAGGGTGAGAACAAAGAGCGGGAGAATGAAGGCTAAGAAGTACCTTTTCTTGAAGCCGCAGTCTAACCGCCCGGCATCGTTGAACCGGTTTTTTATGTCGTCGATCTGGAAAGTGGACCGAGTTGGCGATTTTGCGCCATCCCACTGTCCTCCATTGCCGATAAGCTTCCTGCGATCTTCTTCATCGTCGGAAGAGGGTGCTATTTCCATTTTCCTGTGACGGAAATCAAATGTGCTTTCTGGCCGTTGCGATTCACTATTTGTCGATGAGGGAAAGCGACGACTCACCTTGCACAACGGCCTCTTTGGATGGGTGGGTGTAACTTGTAAAATCCTTATTAATGGAAGTGGTGACTGCAGGCCCAGTCTCGAGAAAAGGGAGACTGCAATTATAAAATTTGGACCTTTTTTCATGTTGCAACAAAAGCAAATTATCGTACAATACAAGTTACTAATACACGTAATGATAAAAATAAAAATAGTCATTAATAACCTACAGTTTATTTAAAAAGAGACATTCTTATTTCAAGCTTTTAAGCTTTCAGTTATGACTCTTCTTTGTATGTTTAAATTGTTTTCTTGCTCGAACCATTCATCTTCCCATCACATTTCCCTTGAAAACTATTTAGCAAAGTTCCAGATGTACTCTCCATACTACTTTACTTACGACATTAATTAAGCTCTCATTCATATTTTAGGCAGGC